TGTGCTGAGAGAACAGGCCTGCTGACCAGGAGCCATAACCCCCAACACCCACACAAGTGACAAGCAAGTGCTGTCTGGAATGGTCACAAGGGGAGCTCACGGGCACTGCCCTTTAAGCCAAGCCATCTGTTTGAGGGCACAGAAATGGCAACCAGGGGAGCTGGGTCTGTTCAGCACTCAGCAAATGCAGATAGATCAGGGCGGTGGGCGGTTACTGTGTGACCAAGGCACAGGCAGGCAGAGGGGAGACTCAGCTGTTGCGGCACGGAGACCAGATCTTTATGGGAGGGTCCCTCTGACTGTGTTAAAATTGGTTTTGGGGGGTATTACTCCGGCCTGCTGGCCGACAGACTGCTGACTGCCAGGATTGGTATTTACATGACAGTTTCAAGACTCAGAGTGACAGAAGAGAAACCAGGATATCTATGAATTGGGCTTTCTTTTTTTCTTTGCTCTTCTATTCCAAAGGCTTGGAATGGTTTATGTAATGTTTGACTGGGGGAAATAGAAACATAAAGTGGGTTTTCTTTAGCATATTTCAATGTCCAAGCATCTATGGTGGAAAGAGATGGGATAATCACCTTGAAGCACTTGCCCAAGTATGCACAAGTATGCACCCCGGTATGCACAGGTGCTCAGTAAGGACTGTCATGATTCTCAGCCACCAGGTGTAGCTCTCAGCTGTGAGCCCCAGGAAGCTGGTGTGCACACCCCATTCAGGGCTGAAGTCAGGGTTGGGACCTTTGTCTGTACTTCTGGTTGTGGTGGTACACTCCTGTCATCCCAGTGGCCCAGGAGGCTGAGGCAGGAGCATTGCAAGTTTGAGGCCAGTCTCGGCAACTTAGGGAGACCCTGTCTCAAAATAAAATATAAAAAAGGCTGGGGGTGCAGCTCCATGGTAGGGCACCCCTGGGTTCAACACCCCAGTACTGGGGAGGGGGAGCTTGTAGGTATCCATGAGATTGTGCTTGTCATTCTGTGCTGTCTAGTATGTCAACTCATGTCCCACATCTTCAAGACGTTCAATTTTTATTTGACAATTTTAAAG